AACTGTGGGCCACCCGGGGAGCCGGACTCGTCAGTGGAGAGGCTGTGCCGGCCCAGCAGCACACGGTAGGTCCTGGACGAGCTGTGTGCAGGGGAGCCAGTGGAGAGGGTCAGCTCCCGACTGCCGCTGCTTCTCTCTGGGCCCCCAGGCACCCCAGTGCATCTTCTCCAGAAGCCTGGCTTTAGACAGAGTGGATGATGGGGGCCAAGCAAGCCACGGCTGCATGAGCCACCAGCTGGGGGTCGGGAATTTTCCTTCCCCAGGGCAGTTAGTTATCCCACATCATGGACGGTGTAACATAATACCCGCAGTACAGAGTGACTGTAGGTATACCACGCCCGCCATAGCTGCGACGTAGAATAAAGGTGACCAGAATATAGATTAAATTATTATGGAAGGAATGAAGTGAACACAGAAAACAGGAGCTGTTTGCCCATCAAGGCATTTTCTGGTTTACCCATCCACCTCTCATTTTCAGATGGATAAAACCGAGGCTCTGAGAGGGGCGACTACAGGTCCCAGTGAGAAGTTAGACCTAGAAGCCAGGACCCCCGACTCCCGGTTATTTCCCCTACCACTTCACAGAGCTTGTAAGTCAGGTGGGAGAAGGGACCACTCCCAGTCATGGTTAGTCCAACCCAAACAAAACTCCTGAGTTCCAGCAATGTGAGATAGACAGGTCATGGGGCAGGAAGCTTTTCTCTCCCGTGGGCCTTTATAATCAATACAGATGCTGTCGCGAACTTTTATGGAGCACTTACTAAGTGCTAGCCCTTTACTGTGTCATCTCGTGTAATCGATTCTAAATTGTTATCTTGGGTTTTACAGGTGATATAGAAGATTGGAGAAGTCATTTAAGTTGCTTCAAGAGAACCCAATTTCAGATCCAAAGGCCACATCTAGTGCCCCAAGAAGGCAGGAACTGGGCTTTCTCCTCCCTCAGTACCTGGCACAGGGCACTCAACCCACTGCATGGATTGACCCATCTATTCACCAACAGACTGAACCACAGAGCGCTGAAGCCGCGTCTTGGCCAGGCAAGCGGCTGTGTGCAAGGTTCCTTACCTGGTATGGCCCAGGCCATCTGGGCTCTGACTCTTAGGTGAGCCGTGGCCACTGGGGACAGCAGGCAGGTGATGGGGAAGGCAGTTACCTGATGCAGTGGGCAGCTGTCAGGACCCAGTTGTTGGCCACCAGGGACCCTCCGCAGGTGTGGCGCCAGGTGCCACTGGAGCTGTACTGTAGGGAGACCTGGAGGGGGCACAGGTAGCATGGTAGCTGAGAGGGCCAGGCCTGTTTGTTCTGCAGGTCCCTGAGAGCAGGGCAGGGGCAGGGCAAGTAAGCGAGTCTCGCTGTGTGTGTGTAACTTAATGGGAGTGCCTCAAAACACTTGGTAGTCAAGATAAATCGTATCCCCCCATTTCAAAAATTAACATATAATAATTGTCCATATTTGCAGGGGGACAGTGTGAAGAATACAATATGTAATGATTCAGCACAAGAATACAATATGTAATGATTTTTTTTTTTTGAGAGGTTTTTGCAATAGTGCATGTGCGCTCACCAGAAAGACAGAGAGACAGAGAGACAGAAAGTGAGAAATCACCCCCCCAGGGAGGATGGCCACGCCGCAATCCCTTCTCCTCCGTTCTCCTCTCAGGATCTTGGGCACGCACGCACACATGCCCTGTGTGAGTTTAAGCCACTGGGTCTGGGACTCAAACCATGGTCAACTACATGGGAGTCCAGTGACATAGCCATTACGCCATCTGCTGGTCCCACAATATGTAATGATTAATCAGGGTAATCATCAGAATCATTCATCATTACATATGTTGGGAACATTGAAAATCCTCTTTTAGTTACTTTGAAATATTCAGTAAGTTGTTCTTAACCACATTCTCCCTACTCTGTTTTAGAACACTGGAAATTGTCCCTCTTACGTATCTGTAACTCTGTCTCCATTAATCATCACCCTTCTACTGCACCCCTCTCCCCATGCTTCCCAGCCTCTAGCAGTCACTCCTCATTCTCTACCTCCGTGAGATCAATAAAGACATTTTAGTGTAAGATATGAAAAAAATCAAAATTACCAAAAAACCTATGGTTAACAAAATCTTAAAAATGTAGACATTACAGAATAACTCCACCTTGAGTATTTTTGGCAACTTGATTTGTTGAGATTTTTCCTCCTTGGGAGCTATTTCTTTAAGATATATCTCTTGGGGCTGGCAGATGGCATGGTGGTTAAGGGTGCTGGACTCCCACATGGCTGACCCTGGTTTGAGTCCTGGACCTGGTGCCTTGCTTTCTCACTTTCCCTCTCTCTCTCTCTGTGTCTCTCTCTCTCTCACTCTGTCCCTCTCTGGTCAAATTAAAATAAATATATGAAGTTAAATAAAATAATTATTTTTAAAAAAGACATATCTCTTTTGGTCAGCAGGCGGTACGGTGGTTAAAGTGCTGCACTCCCACGTGGCTGACATGGTTTGAGTTCTGGACCTGGCAGCTTCAAAATCACGCTGGGTGTGTGTGAGTGCCCATAATCCCAGGAGGAGAACAGGGGAGAAGGGATTGCAGCAGGGCCATCTACCTGGGGTAGATTTCTCACTTTCCCCCTTTCTAAAGGTCTCTGTCTCTCTCTTTTTAGTGAGTGCATGTGCCTTATGACAAAACCTAAAATAAATAAATAAATAAATAAATAAATAAATAAATAAATGAATGAATAAATAAATGAATAAATAAATGAAAAAAAGATATGTCCCTTCAATTTACTGTGTCTAAAACAGAACTCTTGGTTCCTCCCAAGCCTGCTCTTTCCTCAGGTGTTCCTCAGGAGGTGGCGACTTCACCTGACCAGTTACTCAGGTCAGAACTTCGTCATCCGTGGCTCTCTTCCTCCTTTGTTTTCCACTCACATCCATCAGCCCGTTCAGGACGCGTGGCGAGAACGCCACCCTGAGCACCGCCTCCGCTGGCTTCCCACCACCTTTCTGTCTGTTACCACTTCACTGCCACCGCGACCAAGCCCTTACCCTCTGTGTTCGCAACACAGCAGCCAGAATATTTTTATGTATTTGTTTATTTTTAAAATTTGCCAAAGGGCATGTGCACTTGGCAGAGAGAGACAGAGAGGGAGACGGCCCCCTGACTGGGACATGGCCTGCTGCAATGCCTTCCTCTTTATTCTCCACCCTGCCGGGATTCTGGGCACACACACACACACCAGTGTGTTTTTCATGCATCAGGTCTGAGATCTGAACCACATAGTTGGCTACGTGGGATTAGGATCCCTTAACCAGCAGGCCAGGAGGCTGGCCCTAGAATGATCCTTTTTAAATGTAAGTCTGACTGTGTTTCTGCTCGCACCCTTCAATGACTCTCCCTCTCACAGTGTAAAACTCAGACTGTTGGGTGGCCTCCGGGGCCCTCTTGTCCTGTCTGACTCTTCATTGTAGTATCTTTCACCACCTGACAGGTTATTAATTTATCCATTCATTGTTATTGTCTCACTTTCCTCCTTATTTTTTTTTTATTATTTTTTTTTTAGAGAGATTTTGTTACAGGGCATGTGCACTCACTAGAGAGACAGAGAGAGACAGAGAGAGAAAGTGAGAACCCTCCCCCCCAGCCCCTGGGGAGAAGGCCATGCTGCAGTCTCTTCTCCATTCTCTTCTTGAGATTTTGTGCACACATGCACACACGCCTGGCGTGACTTTCAAGCCTCCGGGCCCCAGACTGGAACCGCAGTCAGCGATGTGGAAGTCCAGTGCCTTAACCATTACGCGGCCTCCTGGCCCCTCACACCTCTACTTTCTTTTGTTGTTGTTGTCAAGAATTATCTATTTAACTTTGATTATTATTTTAATTTTCTCACTAGAGAGACACAGAGAGGGGGAGAGAGCGAAAGTGAGAAAGCAAGTTGCCAGGTCCAGCACTTGAACCACTGTCGGCCATGTGGGAATCCAGTACCCCAACCCCCATGCCACTTGCTAGCCCCTCACTCCCCTACTTTGGTATAAGCTCTGTGAATTTTCCTTCCACTGTGTGTTTCAGGTACCTGTTAATACAGATTTAACAACCAAGTGAATAACCAGATGAATCCGTGACAGAAAGTGGAGTCACCAGGACAAGGGTCTGGTCTCTCCAGCCTGTCTTGCCACCCATTGCCCTAGTTCCTTCCTGAAGACAAGATCCATTGGTAGGAATGAGACTGTATAAGTGGATCAAGGTTTGTTTGGTTTTTATTAAATAATAGTTTCTGGGGATCAGCAGGTGGCATGGTGGTTAAGGCACTGGACTTCCACGTGACTGACTGCGGTTTGAGTCCCGGACCTGGTGACTTGCTTTCTCACTTTCTCTCTCTCTCTGGCGAGTGCATGTGGTCTATAGCAAACTAAACATATTAATAAATAAAATTTAAAATTACTTTCTCTTTAGGTTTGATAGTTTAATTGGTATGATGGGCTGGAATTTTAAGGCCGCAGCAGTTGGCACTGTCCAGTCTCTAACCGAGCTGTCATAAGCCTTTCCACTTCCTTTGTCCCTCCTCCCCGTCATTCAAGCCCCCGCCTGGGCCAAGCAGGGTGGAGCAAGGCGGCGGAGGGAGGCGGCGGAGGGAGGTACAAGCTGAGCGTGGACCACCCTGACTGTGGTTCCTGGGACTTCAGGGATTGATGATCTCTGCGTCGGCAGAAGCCTGCTTTTTTCCCCAAACATCCTTGTTTCCAATTACCCACTTGGTATTTCTCTTTTGCTTGACATTAAGGAACCTTAGATGAATCGACTTTTTAAAAAAGATGTTTAAAATTAGACAAAACGAAAGAAGATACCTAAAAGGATGCCTTTTCCAAACTAAAAATAGACCAAAACCTGTAGGACGTGAAATGTTCACGTAACACACGATATTTGTCACGAAGTGTGACCAAAAGAGCAAGGACTGAACCAGATTTGAGTCCTGACTCTCCCCGCACCCTGGCTGCCGGGCGGCTGTGTGATGATGTAAGCTTTCCGAGTCCCAGCGCCTCCGCTGGAAACTGGGCCCTTACAGCCCGTTCGGCAGCACTTGGGGTAAGAGTAATGACCACAGCAGCGAACCCTTCAATGGCCAATCATTTGAGGCCGTGTGCTGGAGCATCCTGGGCTCAGAATAGGAGTCAGCTCAGATTCTAGTCACCCCCACCCCACGAGGCACCGTTACACTTTCTGTTTCCCAGCTGCTTAACCGAAGGCAGCTGACGCACACCAGTACGAGTGCTGGTGCCTTCAGGGCTGCTGCTTCCAATATCACCCCGAAGGAAGGTCATTTGAGCTGTTCCGGGTCAAACAGCTAGTTCATGGTGGAGCAGATTTAAACTCCGGTCTGTGGCTCTAGAATCAGTGTTTGGAAACTTTACACTTGAGTTCTAAGGTGCCTAGCACTTTAGTCCGAGTGTCTGGTAGCTTGGTTTTAGGGATGTTGACTTAGGGCCATGGTCTTGAGATGGGTGTCAGGTTGTAGAGTTCTCGTGCCAAGTCATATTAGTCAAGTCATATTAATCCAGGCCTTGTTTAAATTCTGACATTTTGTTCATCATAGTATTTTTTTTTTTTTTTAGAGAAAGATGTTTGTTCCAGGGCACTTGCCGGAGAGACAGTGAGAGAGAGAGAGAGAGAGACAGAAAGTGAGAAATCATCCCCTAGGGAAATGGCCACACTGCAATCCCATCTCCTCCAATCTCCTCTTAGGATCTTGGGCACACATGCACATGCACCCAGCATGAGTTTAAAGCCACTGGGCCCGGGACTCGAACCACGGTAGACCATGTGGGAGTCTAGTGGTGTAACCACTACACCATTTGCTGATCCTTCATCATAGATGCTTTTGGATCAAGTTTGATTTTTAAAATATGAGAAGACTTAAAGAGTTCATTGAAAATGGAATTTAAGTATTAGTTAAATTTGGGGGAAAATTTAAAATACATGCATAGTTTTTTTTTTTTCATAGTTTTTTTCATAATATACATTTTCCATGAACTTAAAAAAAAGTAATGAGAGGGGTCAGCAAGTGATGTAATGGTTGAGGTGCTGGACTCCCACATGGATGACCACGGTTCCAGTCCTGGACCTGGTGGCTTGCTTTCTTACTTTCCCTCTTTTTTTTCTCTTTCTCTCTCTCTCTGGTGGGCACATGTGCCCTATAACAAATTTTAAAAATAAATAAAGAAATAAAATTAAATGAATAGTTATTTAAAAAGACTAATAGTAAAAAAAAAGTGATAGAGTGCATGCACATTCATGAGAGAGACCGAGAGAGGAGCACCCCTCCACAGGGCTTAGTCTCACCGCAGTCTCTTTCCTTGTTCTCCAGCCCACCAGGGTCTTGGGCTTGTACAGCATGTTTTCAGGCTGGCCAGGCAGAGGACTTAAAGCATGGTTGGCATGTCGTTTGTAGCCAAACAGTCTGGTATATTACTGACTGTGCCACAGAAGCTGGGCTCATTTTCCAGGAACCTTTGGAAAACTCCCTCATATTGCATTCAAATGCTTTTTATTTAGTTGCTGAGTTTTGTGGTATCCTCTTAAATGTTGTACCCAAAATGAATGCCTCCTATGGCTCACCCGAGTTCCCACCTGACTAGACCTACCCACCTGCCCCAATAAAGTATCTCCCCAGGGAAACAGAAGTAGGAAGCGGAGAGACTCTTCCATGACCAACACTAACTGGTTCCAAGGCAAGGACACATGTAAGCAAGAGGGGAGGAAGTATTGTCTAGGCAGCATTGATAGCTTCGTAACACAAGCATATGCTATGCTATGGGGCTCTATAGCAGAGGAGCTGTGGCTTCCGTTCCACCTTCCCAGAGAAAAAATACTGTGGGACCTGGGGCCAGTGGGTGGCATGGTGGATGGGGCACTGGACTCCTACATGGCTGACCGTGGTTCAAGTATTGGACCTGATGGCTAGAGAATCATGCTGTGTGTGTGTGTGTGTGTGTGTGTGTATGTGTGTGCACATGCATGCCCAGGGCCCCCAGGAGAGAATGGAGGAGAGGGCATTGTGGCATTTCAAGTCATCCAGGACAGGGGTCTGAACCCATGGTCGGGATATATGGCTTCTAGCATGGCACTCCATTACGCTAAGGACTGCACGACTCATGCTGGGCTGCGTGGCACGCCTTTCCTCTGAGGGTCCTACCATGACCGTGTCCTGGTAATTTATGCCCGTGTCCCAGCTTTGTAGTCTTGGTATCCCATGATTATATCCAGGTAAGGAAACAATTGAGATAACGGATGCTTGCCTTTCCCTCTGTGAACACCATCACTTCAGCATGGGCACCATGAATGCTTGTGGCTAGTAGGCTGCTAGGTGCTCCACCATTTAGATTAGAAACTCATCCCAATTTGGGGCCAGCAGGTGGCATGGTGATGTAGGACCCTAGACTCCCACATGACTGACCATGGTTTGAGTCCCAGACTTGGCGGCTTGCTTTCTTACGTTCCCTCTCTCTCTTTCTGTCTCTTACTGGTGAGAGCATGTGCTCTATAGCAAATTAAAAATAATAATAAGTAAAATTAAATAAATAATTCTTAAAAAAGAAAAGAAATTCATCCTGATTCAGCTGGATTTGTTCCCACACCTGTTTATGTCAGTTATGTAATTTGGTTAAACATATAGCCAATGAAGTATGAATTCAGAAAGAGTTGTGATTTACGTAGAAACTAAATGAGATGCTTGGAAGAGACTGGATAACTGCAATTCTTAAAAAGTTGCTATTTGATGAGACCAGCAGTTAGCGTAATGGCTATGTCGCTGGACTCCCACATAGTTGACTGCGGTTCGAGTCCCGGACCTGGTGGCTTAAACTCACGCCAGGCGCATGTGTGTGCGTGCCCAAGATCCCAAGAGGAGAATGGAGGAGAAGGGATTGTGGCGTGGCCATCCCCCCGGAGGGTGATTTCCTGCTTTCTGTCTCTCTCTCTCTCTCTGTCTGGCGAGCGCACGCGCCCTATAGCAAAAACCTCTCAAAAAAAAAAAAGTTGCTATTTGATTAGTTGTCTGAAAAAGTAGAAAGATTGGAGGAAAGACTGGACCATGAAAGTCTGGACAGGCTCATGACTCAGACTGATTCATGGGTCTCTCAAAGTTACTCCTCTGGGGGCTGGCAGGTGGCATGGTGGTTAAGGGTGCTGGACTCCCACATGGCTGACTGCGGTTCGAGTCCCGGACCTGGTGGCTTGCTTTCTCACTTTCATTCTCTCTCTCTCTCTCTCTGTCCTTCTCTGGTCAAATTAAAATAAATAAATGAATACATAAAGTTAAATAAAATAATTCTGAAAAAAAAAAGTTACCGCTCTGCTTTAACGAAGTGGACTTGCAGATGATACGTTATGGGAAGTGGTTCATACAAGACAATCAATGGAAATGATTAATAACTATATGTCTTAGAAGATGTTCTAGATTGAAATAAAATGTTTAAAATACACATAGAGGTTTAAAATAATTTTTTCAGCCATCAGCTTTTCAGTTAGTTGTAATTACGTCAGGTAAGAGAAATTTTACCGTATTCATTTCTGGCTATTATAAACTTCACACGGTTCCTTTGAGTCCTACCACTAACACGTCCTACGATTTGTTCCCATGCCCCACTAAAACCCAGTATTTTAGTCTTGATTATCACTATGATTATAACAAGGTAAGAAAACATTTATTTTCATTAGTAACATGGATTTACCTATAGTTAGGGATTTATTCGCAGAGGCTACACTGATTGGTTCCTTAAAGCAAGGGTCATTTGCATAGGTGGCTGGCAAAGGTTCATAGCATAACAGTACATTTATAAACAAGCATGTGATTGGTTAACAGGCTGAGACTGTATTTGGGAATGGTACGTGGGTAATGGAGTGGGGCAGCTTCTTACTGAAGCTGGAGAAGGCCCCTCTTTTCCTCCACCCCCAAGGTTGGCCAAGGTCACAGAAATACACTTTATTGACGAAGTTGTCCTTCTGTCCTCTGAGTCCCCACCAGTCCTCATCTTTGCCAGCACAACAGAGCCGAAGGGAAGGGGAGAGGCCAGGTGTGCAGTGTGTGGGGCAGGGAGGGAGGAGCTGCAGCGTGGTTGACTCACCTGCCAGGGCCAGCTGTTGGGACTTGCATCTTCACCTCCCACCACCCTGGACAAGTGGGGCAGGTAAGTGGGGAGCCCGCAGCCGAGAGCTGTGAAAAGAGAAAGGGTTGTGAGTCTGGGAAGTAGTGATCTGAGCAGTATAAACTATACTGACTGCATCCCGACCCCCAAATACAAAGTCCTTGTTCTGGAAGGTCCTGAGAGGTTATAGAATGCTGGCCTTTATTCCCCTTCTTTTAAAAAAATAATTATTTATTTAATTTAATTGAGTATGATTATTATTTTTTGATTTGCTATAGAGTACATGTGTTCACCAGAGATTGACAGGAAGAGAGAGAAAGTGAGAAAGTGAGCCACCAGGTCTGGGACTCAAACCGTTGTCAGCCATATGGGAATCCAGGGCCTTAACTACCACGCCACCTGCTGGCCTCTCCAGCTTTATCATAATAGAACTGAATGCAATGGGAGTGGAGGTGGGAAGGAGAGGGTGGGAAGGTCCCTTCCAGCCCCACTGGGAAATGAAGAAGCAGTGGCTTTAGGTAACAGGCTTACCTGCAGCCACCGATGCACACAGCAGTAGTGTCCTGATCATGGTGTATCTGGGAATCGTATAAGCGCAGTCCTGGCTAAGGCCTTGGTTTTATGAGCATGCTTATCAGTAGGAGATATACTAGGTGCATGCAAGATGCGGATTTTCTCAAAGCCCAATGGAAAAAAGGGCTTGTGTTCAAATATTTTTTCCCCACTTTCTCCCACCTGTTACCTGGAAATACTTTGAAAAATAAGCCAAAGGCAGATATTGAAATATGGGTTCTGCCTACTTGCAAGAGATTATGTTGTGTATTAGGAGAGGAAGTAAGGTATTGGTCATTAGTTCTCAGAGTTGTAGTTTCAAAGAAAAGATGAAGTTGGCATTCTAGGTCACTGTTTTTTTTTTTTTTTTTTTTTTTGGAGAGGTTTTTGCCATAGGGTGCATGCGCTCGCCAGACAGAGACAGAGAGACAGAAAGCGAGAGATCAC